AGCGCGGCGGAGCGCTCAAGTAACATCGACGCCAACGTGCCAATAACTGATCGAAACGTACAGCTATTGGCCCAGGTTCTAATGGCGATCGAAACGATCCAACTCTTATCGCAAGTGCTCTTGCTGTCGGAACGGGTGCCAGCCAACGTTGAGGCGCTTTCTGGGGTGCAACTCCATTCATATCTGACTGGGACTACCCCTTTGCCTGCGAATGCGCTCCCACCGGGCTTGTGGGAAGCCTGTGTGCCATCACTAGAGGATGCATATAGGGTGGAGAAACAAAAGAAGGCGAAGAAATCGAAGTCGGAGCAGAATAAGGCAGTCTCCAAAGCGACCCACAATGGAGCGAAGACAAGTGGGCAGGGTTTGTTTTCGTTGCTCGTCGACCAGGAAGCTTGAGAACAATGGTAGTCGGAAATCATTTTGTATTTTGGTGCTACAATGCATCTCTTGTGTCCAACTGTTTCGAAACGCGGCTCAGTGCTTGAAGCATAATGGATTTCTATGGCCATTGAGGCCAAACCCAGTTGCAATTACTACACTTGACAAAAGCTAAAGGCGGCTATGCAGCATATCCTGTATTCATTCTGGAAGCGGGAATCCCAATATGGAATTTTGGCTCCAGGCCTCAGGTCAGTACTACTTGCCAAGTTGAGTGCTGTGGTACACTGGCGCCAATGCGATGACAAGGCTATTCCAGTCGTGATACAACTTCAGAGGCGCGTCTGTGACTCTGGGTCTATATAATGGTATGTCATGGATCCGAATCTGCTCCCCAACAAGCGACCCAACCGACTCAAACGCACATCAGCTTGATACATTACAATCATCCCTCACTCAACCATGCCTCAACACAAACCTTCTACTCGCCATGGCGTAGCTCAAGCAGACATCGTCACCTACCGCTACGGGGGAGATATGATGTACGTTCCAGTGGCACAAAACTACCCGGTCAGTTTGGCACTCCCCCCCGTATTTGCGTGACATTCTAATTTATCGACCTCAGCAAGCACTTGCTTATGCTCGGGATGCATTCTCATCGTTAAAGGGGCACAAAGACTCCGCTATCACGTTGTCTCTGAACGTTATCAACGGAGCTCACAGACAATCTGTCGGGATTACCGCTGCCGCGTGGCCAAAGATAATCTTGCATCTGTCGCGCTACGAAGTCATCGACATACACACCACCGTTGACATTCCCAGTATCACCGTCACCGGCACGAGCGAATGTGAAGCTGCACCTCCGTATCGAGAACCTGATAACCACACGTACAACGAAAAGGCATCGTCATACCCTACGTATAGAGTTTCGCGGCCTCGCTCCCCTACACCTGGGCCCGCCGGAGGGAAGCTGAGTCCCCAATGGCTACTTCAAAAGCTCCATGATTCTTTTGGCAACTAGTAGTATTATAGATTGTGATTCAATGGGTCCTCTGTGTACGAATAACTTCCTCAAGTACTCTGGACGATTTACAATACCCTGGTTCATTATGGAAACCATTGTTAGAACTGTACCAATAGCTTCATTTGTATCGACATTATGTTTTAATTCGATGTATCATGTAACGATCTTATGCATCTTGTTACACTTGCAATTCTACTGCAGTATATATCATATCTGAGTGCGGCCTGATACATTTTATCATCAAGTATCTGAGATCTACTGTCAGATTAGTATCGTATATGATCGACAACATGATCGAATGAAATCGTGACCTTGCTGTATCCTTAGAGTTCATGTCCCAAAACCAGGAACCTGTGGGGTAAGGGTCTGATCTCGATAAACCCTCGAGAACCTAGCATGCATACCCTTGGCCATGCATCGACGATCCAGTGCGCAGAGGGGTTCATACCGGCGCTGCCCACAATCGCTGTGGTGATTGGGCCTGTGCTACTGGATACTCAAGCGCCCACGCCTGAGTACGCTACATCAGAGTGAAAGTCACAGCAGTACATAGGAGAAGCCCACTGCGGTTTCTCGACTCATCTGGGCGTTGATAGGTTTGAACTCCGCGGTCACCGGAAGGCGCCTAAAGAAGGTCTACGCTACCTTTGAGGTTGCCACAGGTAATGCATCCCTCCACTTGCTGTCGATATGATTCAGACAGACTCACCTTGAAGCCTAAGGCCGTGACTACGCAGGAACATGGGAGAACCACATAAATTATTTGATCATTGCAGTGGCAAGGGGGCCGCCTACTCGCGACTATACCTCAGAAGCGCCTTACTCCGGAATGTTGCGTTGTACTGCAGCAAATTATTGATATCCCTGACCCAGTCATCCTCCTTTCCTGGACCTACACCTTCCCCTTGTCGCCCTTCCCCACCAGGAGAGATGGATGACCGATTGATGCATGGAACAGGGTAGGGCGATGCCTGCACTGTGACCGAATCCCCCGGATTTAGTACATGAGACACACGCCCGTCCATCGAAACACCCGCTGCAGCACGGCTGCGGTCGCTAATCTGAGAACAAAGGACGATAAGGCCATATAGCCCGACAGGCTGTGGAGACCGAGATAGGACGTACCTGCAGAGTCACAGAAGATGATGACGGGAATACTAGTGGGCGAAAAGATAGGCTCCGGGGACATATGGGGACGAGAACTACAGCACTCAGAGATGGATGCACAATTGGCCCACCCGCTGAGAGCGAGTAAGCGGTCGAGCCTGTGGGCGTGGACACGATCACGCCATCAGACTACTCCAACATCAACCCATGTTTGATAGTACGTCAGTAACACGTACCACTGCCTCCGTCAGATGTTGACCATCGACGTAGATGTCGATGGTATTGAGGTGAGGGCTCGAACCGCGATGCAGCGCAATTTCGTTCATCACTTGCCACTCTGATGCTGCGAAACAGGTTGCATGGTCAGGGCACGATGACGGTGATGTTCAGGTTTAGACGGCGCACCATTTGATCCTATCTTACGCGAGTCTTTATCGTAGAAGGTACACGAGAGTCGCATTCTGTTCAACAGAGTTGCCTTTCCCTGGAAGACAGCCTCAAGACCCTTCGCAAAATCATCTATGTCTGTGCCAAGCAATGCCCTTAGTCTTAGCGTGCTGCAGGACACTGGTAAGCTTACGGAAAGGCAGCAAGAACCCTAGGGTGCCCATAGAGAAACTCAGCACCGGTGGGACGGCTCCGAGGCTGAACAGCGATGCTGCATGCAAGATGGTCCCATCTCCTCCGAGAGTAACCACCAGATCTATATTCTCCGACCGTGGTCCCGGCCGCCAAACCTCTGCTCCTTCAGGGATGTCTGGTCGATCCTCTGCGAACACCTTGACACTTGGGTATGTCTTTTTTAGATGTCTACCACGCGATGAGAGTCAGAGAGAGTTGGTTATGAGGAAATACGAACTGGAGAAGCTCGTCAATTGCATATATGACTGGCTCTGTCCTGAGCTTGTTGACGATAAGGATGGATCGTGGAGGGTACGAAGCATCCTGTTGGCTATGGTTTTAAGTGTGAGCGAGGCGCAAGGGTGTGCGGATCAATACGAACGCTTGAGCTGGGGCCGTAGAGACCGATGATATCCCTCTAGTCCGTGTCGGTATCGACTTGAGTAAATTTCTGGGATGAAGGCGACCAGTGTAATGCTTCGAGGATGAGGCTTGGAAGTGCAAGGAGCCTTGCAGAAACGAGTTGTGCAGGGCACGCCGAGCATGACACACGATATTCATGATGGTGTCGATGTGGCAGGAACAGATATGCGTTACTCACACACTCACGGCCTGATTCTTCCACAAGCTTGTCGAGTGCTATGAGAATTTTAAAATCCACCGAATTTTGTGTGATCATAATTTTCTACCATGGACTTGGTGGCGCCGTGGCGACCCGTGTTGCTTCACAGCGTACCGCTGAGTGATCTTGAGTGATCCTCATGAAAGCCGCATCAGCCAATCTTACTGTCAGCATTGTCTCTGCTATCCCTGCCAGGAAAACTGCAATCAATTCCCGCACGCAAGCTTGAGACCACGTTGGAGAAGTTTACCCAGCTCATAATATTGTGGGATGGTGTAATTAAGCCCACCGTGCCATAAACACGGCTGTTGTACGTTTCGCTCCTCCTCGACTCTAATGTATCCCAACAACAGACTTGGACATACTTCCGGAATCACTCTGCGTGAACGTTCAGCGACCGTTCCTTTCCTGCTTTGAAAATTGCATTACTCAAGTTTCCCAAAAACTATGCTCGTGTCTCGCTCAAAGTTTCCGCCATGGCTCTCCTCGACTTATTTCTGCACGTCGGGAGGAATCTGGTCATCTACCTAGAAAGTATCGATCACAAGACGAACTTTGGAATACTAGGCGTGGTCCTAACAGCCTGCAGGCCCTGCACGCAGTCGAAGAGAAGGATCTAAATTACATCTATCCTTCAAGTCATCGGTTGGTGCACCTCGAGATCCTTGGACACCGGGATGCGCGACCACGGAGACCTTGGTAATATCCTCGATTCCCGCAACGGAAGGTGAAACGGCGTTGAAGAATTCGTTGCGCTTGGCGTAAAGTCGTACGCTGAGGGCACCTGCTTACCTCCAATTGATACCCGACTGACCCAGTCTCAATTACACCAGACTCATGAAACTATGCAGTGGCCTGGTCTATATGCTGCCGTCCTGCTCATCATGACAGGCATGAGGCAATTCAATCTGGATGAGATGCCACTACAAAGTCTTCTGGAACTGCGTCACCGTCGAAGTGTGTCGGGATAAAACGCGTTCCAACGAAGCGAGGCATACCACAAGTTAGATTCCTTCGGGGCGAAGCCATCGACCAAAAGTTGATGTTAGCGATCTCAAGGTTCTCAACTCCCTCACCCAAAAACTACGTCACTTGCCTATTGTTTTTTGAATGCACGCTGAAAGCTTCTGGTGGGTGACCCGTTGCAGCTTTCCACTAATCGACTATCGCATTGACGGGGATGCTTGTCATTGCATCAAGTGTGGCCACAGTGAATGATGTATTACGATGACACAATACTTGTAAGGCACGATGGCCGAGCGGTCTAAGGCGCTGGAATCAGGTTACGTAATGAAGTATCCAGTCCGAAAGGGCGTGAGTTCGAATCTCACTCGTGTCAGAAACTTTTTGTTTTCTTGGAAAAAAAAAGTGATTTTCAACCTGTCTTCCGGTGGTTTATGTAAATGTGTACCCTTCTACCACACATCCCATATCTACTGTGTGTTACATGACCAAGTGAATTAAGGTATCTAGTGTAAACTATACATCTGGCTCTGCATCCGAGTCTGGTGGTCCCTCCTTCCACTTCTCCCAAACCTTCCTACATACGTTGCGTGCTAAAATAAAAGGTTCCGGCGAACGAGCCTTCTCCCACATGCGAAGTGCGAAGTCTCGCTGGGAGCCAGACTCAATGCTCTGACCAAAGATATCCATGGCTTTGAAGGTCGGAGCTAGGAGATTGCGTATAGGCTCAAGCAGCGGGGCGAGTGGTGGGGGAAGTGGCGTGAGCCATGAACTGTGCCTATATCACCGACCACCGTCAATTCTTAGATTACAGAATCCAATTAAATTACGCACCAAGGAAACTCCGGCCGCTCGGGAGGCAGTGTCTCACTGGTCATCACCCTGTCAATCTCAATCCGAAAGAACCCAGAGTTTCCGCGAGCAGTCGGGATACCCTGTGGTCGCCTCTCCGCCCACTCCGCCTCGTGCCGCCGTTCGAAATTATCTTTGTAGCGCTGCCAATTATCCTGAGACGCGAGGTTGTGCGACATCAGGCCTAGTTTCTCCTGCGCAGCCCAGCGGCTTCTACTTGTCCAGAGATACCACCCCTCCTCCCAGTATCTCGTATCCTCATCGGATGTGGATGGTGAATCAAAATCATCTAAGTGATGTTCACTTGTAGGTTGACCTTCTGGGGGGAGGGGGAAATGGTCGGTTTCCTGCCTTTTCTGCCCCGTCCGTCCATGAAATATGAAAGTGGTCAGTTCGTGGGGGAAGACTTTGCGGAGACATATTGTGCGACAGTTGGGCTCGCGGCCTTCGGCTCTTCCAAGGGAAGTCTGCGAGCAGTATGTGAAGCATCTCTCGTCGATACCGTTAGGAGCTCTCCCTGTTCGTATCGGTCTATTAGGTTGAAGCCGCTCACATGCTGCGGTGAAGTACAAACCGGGCGGTTGTCGAGTCAGAGACAGCCAAGGTGTCTGCACAGGAATTCGCCTCTGTGGGGACGGAGGATGGGCATTTGGAGAGCTCTCAGGTTTTCCACCCTCGTTACTTTGTGAGTCTGTCGAACTCATAAGTCAGGACGTGGTGGTGGATGACAGCATCGGGATGATCAGGCAGTGCAGCTTGCATTCTGTTCGGCTGCTCGGCATTTTCAATCGGAGTTCAGATACATCATTTATAAGCAACTTTTTTTCACTTGCTTTCATCACCCGCGTCGTATGAAAGATCGCTGTCGCAGCATACGCACAGAAAGCATCTCGCTTTCACATTCTCGCTGTGGGGAAAGTCCCCGGAGACACAGAGTGCCGCCTTCTCACCCGGAACGGAAAGCGCCCAGCTTCAAATTTGTTGAGGGGGGTGAGATAGGCCGGGCGAAGCCGATTTTACTCGGCCTCATTTGCATGGGGCCGGTTCCGTTTGCCCACTCTGTCGCTAGCTTGAAGTCGAACGGCTCTATCACCGGCGTATTCATGCCAAGATATGAGCATGTTTGCGCTTGAGCTGTTTGATGAATGGCTAGCTCTTCGTTGCTCATGAATATAGTTATGCGATCGTTGGTGTTTACCTTTCCGGTCGCCTTCAACTCAATGGGGCTTAATCTCATCCGACGTGGACCTCTGAGTTATTTTTTGCTCTTTGGACGCTCGCCGTTCACTCAAGTATCGCGAAGTTGCCGGTTGCGAGGTTAGTTTGGTTCTTTATATTCCAATCTATGATGCTTTTAAACCAAATGGTTTGAATTTCTTCAAGGAGGATACCTTTTGAAAGGGCGTGCTCCAGAGATTGACACCTCTGATTCGATCCTGCTCCTCTTCGTATCCAGGATGAAAATGCATACTCACGGCATTATCCTGCAGGTTCCTTGATACCCCCGAAATTTCGACTTGGAGAAGGTTCTGCTTGTTTGCTGTCACTTGCATTAAGATGGTTGTATGGGACGTGCCCCTGGACCGATGTAATGTACAACTCGTCACTAAATATACATGTCAGTTCCATACCCTTTGCAACTGCTCATGAGTCTCGCTGGCATCCGGGTTTCCCAAGTCTGAGAATTTCAGCTCCGGTATTGAAGATGCTGTACTATCATTGGACTAGAGTTGCAAATGGCATTTCAGACAAGAACACACCACGTCTATCACTACTTGTAGTCCGAGTACTTCTAGAAATAGTGTCTATGATATGGTTCCGAGGTTTGTTCATAAAAAACGGTGCAGTAGAAGCTGCAGGAGTGGCACACATGTCTAACAAGGGTGTTTGGGGCATAAGATGACCCAGATCTCACAGATCTCGCTGAATGAGAAGGTAGAAATGAGCGCTGAGTGTGACTTTGGTCTGAAAAAGGCAATCACACTGATTGGAACTCCGCACCGTTGTGATCTCACCCCCTACGTCGGAGTAGATAAACGGCAGCTTTGCCGCGTGTGACAACCCGTGACAGGGCGTTCACTGGGGGCATAATCATTTTGTTGAAAAAGATTCTGTGTTGCCATCATGTTCTCACAAAAATAATTTTATATATTCTAGACCAGCCAGCCAGTCAGGGGCCTGGATTCGCCATGTTTTAGGTACATTGTTTTATGTAGGCATTCATTTTCTCACAATGTTTTGTCTAGGAACATTGGCTTTTGCCCGCGGTGGTTTACAAAACTACTCTACTCATTTACAGTCATTTGCATATCGACATAGCGCCCTTGCTTCTACCAACACTCGGAGTTTGAACTCGGAGATGTTCGGCATCGTTGCCGCACCAATGTTACCGTTTCCTCAGACTCCAGATTTCGAGTTCCGATGCTGTGCTAATGTGATACTGCCAAATTAGGCAATGATCGAAGTGTTGGAAAAAGCCCAGGACGCTACATCGATATGCAAATGACTGTAAACTACCTTGCATTGCATTGTAAGCCTGCCGGTGCTCGTAAATCCTCACCAAAAAAAATCAAGCTAAATGTCAGCAGCAAGGTGAGACAGTTTAGACACTATGAGTGTCGTGCCGAGGATCTCAAGTTGTGCAGTTGTGCAGTTATTCATGCATCTTTGAAAACGTTTGCAACTCTGGTCCAATGATAGTCGATAGCGGCTGTCTCGTGTTAGCCTGCACGGCAAATCGGCTCCCAGACGGCACGGTATAAGGTTTTCCGGCTGCGACGGCAGGCAATTAGCAGGGCATTTGCTGTTTTTTTCCCTGTTCTTGATGACGGCGTGTATCGTTCGTGCCGTTTCATTGGAGGCACATAAAGCGAGCGTGATGGCAGAGGGACGTCCCCTTAGCACCCATCGACTCCCCTTTCTCTCCGCGACAGGTCGCCCATATGCCCTGCCAGGGAAAAACAAAGCCACAGTGTTCTTCTGCTGGTCCTGCCCAGTCTGCTGCCCAGGATCAGTCTCGGGTAAGCGTCGTAGCAGACCTCATCGACCTGCCAACTGTGACCCACGTTTATCCTTGTGCTTCGTAGAATATCCGGACTGATCTCGCCGGACAGTCAGAGGGTGTGGATCCCTTAGTGTCACACGCGCGTTCAGCGGTCCTGACACCCGGCCTCCTGGAGGCACTATGGCAGGCCAGGCTCGAGCTCGCCATATTCGAGTTGGAACGCAGAGCGGTATGTGGTTGCGGTCCTCTCAGGAGACGTGCCAGATTTGACCCATGTCGTCACGTCCGCATCACTAGCTTCCGGTGTTGAAGGTGTTCAATTACGTGCCATCGTCGAACATGAGCTGGCATCGTGAGGATGGCCGTTCACACGCACTACGAAGGTGAGGTGCTGTTCTATATCCGGTTTCTGATCGAACGTCCGCTGAACGTCTTCGATAGCCAACTTGAAGCCCATTCGATACGAGGGCGCCCTAGGTACTCTGACCACGCTGATAGCATGGCTATGAAGCTGATAGGTGTTCCTTCGTATCCATAGCGAGGTCCTCGGCATCCCAATACAGCCCCCGGCGGCAGAGATGCCGCCGGAAAGACGCATCGAACAAACACACGGTGGTCATGTCGAGAAGTTCCCTTCGGGCGGCGCGTCGATTGCCACCAGACCAATCCAAAGACTCGAAATGCGCCGCCCATGGTTCAAATGGAGAGGGCCACTGCCCGCCAAATTTCAGCGAGTTCCCGTTTTGGGTAGCACTGTTTTTGCGCACAGATATAACCACGGAGGGAAATGGACGACGCGTTTCTGGGCGCGGCAACGCAAGCGTGGTATTATTCGATGGACAGAAGTCCACTCTTCTCTCCCTCCCAGGTTGTCTGGACAATGGAGAATAGCAGAGGGTAAAAAGATTCGGACGTGGTCAGGACCCTGACATGGTCTTGCGCCGTTTGCAAGTACGGATTGATGCGACATGATCGCCTACTCGTTGGTTTATTGTTTGAACACATCCTGTCATCGCCTTTATAAAATGTGGACTCACAGGTCCTAGACATCATACTTGGGAACACGTACAGCTGCAGATTGTGACGCTCGCTCGCATCGTTGGCTTATCGGACGCCGTCCTGGCTGTTGAGTCCACTGGCTCTGTAGATCCCTGTGCTACTAGTACCTGTCGATTTACGTCCTAAGCCAATAATGTCAGTTCTCCACTGGCACGCGCGCAGCCGCACACCAGGTTCCTTGCACTGACAAGTTAGGAACACGACTCGGAAGCGACTCTGGCAACTGATCGCGACGCGCTTCGACGTGTTGTCACTGGATCGTACAAAGCACGGCGTTATGCATATCCGCAAAGGTGCAGGGCATTGGAAGGACTCACAAAGATAGATGAACCGCGTGTAGGCTTGTACCTAGGGACTTCTACACGATCACGATGTGCAGCCCTCTAACACGTGTATGCTGGCCCTCATCACTTAGGTCCTCGTGTCTTTCACTTCTCTCTCAGTTTGCTTTATCTCCCATC